CTGTGGACTTCTTGTAGGAGGAATGGGAATGCTTCAGCCTTGCTGATGGGGCTTTCTGCAGAGATCTGTTGGAGAATTACAGCAGTCTGGATTCTGAGGGTGAGAATAGTGTTCTTGCAGTCTCCCTTGGTCCTCAGGGTTCCTGAGAAAACTACTCTTCGAGTATGTGATCTGTTATTTGTAGACTGAAGTTTCTCAGTCTTGCCCAGGCCTGCTGGGGAGCAGCTGTGTTTATAAAATAATCACTCAGAGGCTTAATTACAAACTGTTTGGTCTGTGGCTCAGGCTTATTGCTAGCTAGCCGTTACATCTCAAATTAACCCATTTCTATTAATCTACATATCGCCATGTGTCTCATTGCTCATTGCTTGGCAGCTCTAAGTGGTTCCCGTACTCCCCCTTTCTTCTCCCTGAATCTCTGTTGGATTCCCCCCCACCCCCACCCCGCCCCGGCTATAACCTGTCTTGCCATAGGACAGAGCAGCTTCTTTATTAACCAATGGTAGCCACACATTCACAGCGTACAGAAAGACCATCCCATAGCAGTGTTTGAATGAGTCTCAGTCTTAGAGAATAAAGTGAAATCCTCAGAGAAAGAGAGACATCTTTCCTGATATTTTCTCTCCTGCATGTTTATTCTTTTGGCATTAGAACATCTTTCGTTTTTGTTTCATGAAAAGTTCTAGGTGTTTTCTGAGGAATCTCTTTCTCCTGTGCAGGTCTCACATTGCTCGGTCTGTCCTGCCCCCCATGAAGCAGAAAAAAGAACCCTGGATGGTGAAAGGAAAGGAGCCATTAGCAAAGGATCTAGGTGTGTTAGAGGGTCTAAAGAAGGGGTGAAGGGAAGGGGAAGTGCACAAGTAACAGGACATGAAATTGGTTTTGCCACATTCTATTTTATATTCTATTTATATAGCATCTTAGGGATTCTAGAAAATTCCCTGAGAATAATCTCAGGATTATCCTATTGTAGTCATTGGAAGACTGTATGTAATTGTTAATAGTGACAGTGAAATACAGTTTCATTTGACTGTCCATGGGAGTGATGCTGGCTGTCTTTCATTCCCATCGCTGGCTGTGTTTTTAAACCAATATTAAGTGATTTCATATCTATAATTTTACTATGGTGTTTAGTTAGAACCATTTAAACTGCTTGGTTTCTCCTGCATGCAGAGTTTTGGGAGCATCCTTTAGTTCCTTCAGGTTCTGTGTCTTTTAGGGTACTTTCTCTATTTGGTTTGCAAGTATTTTATTGAGCATTTTTGCATCTATGTTCCTGCAGGAAATTGGTTTGTAATTCTCTATTATTGTTGACTCTGTGTGATTTCAGTTTGATGGCGACTATGGTCTCATAAAATGAATTTGACACTGTTCTTTCTGTTTCTATTTTGTGTAGTAATTAGAGGAGTATTTGTATTAGCACTTTTTTGAGTGTCTGGGAGAATTCGGTGCAAAACCATATGGCACTGGGCTTTTTCTTTGGGAGACTTTTAATGATTGTGTCTATTTCCTTTGGGGTTATAGGTTTATTTAAATTGTAGGTCCAGATTTAAAATGGTAAGTGGTGTCTATTGAGAAAACCACCCATTTCTTTTAGTTTCTCATTATTGGACTATAAGTTTTTAAACAATGACCCAATGATTCTTTCGATTTCCTTCGTTCTATTGATACATCCCCCTTCTCGTTTCTGATTTTGTTAGTTTGGACATAATTTCTACATCTTTGAGTTAGTGTGCTTAGGGGTTTGTCTATCTTGTTGATTCTTCCTAAAGAACTAATGTTAGCATTCTGAACATCCCCCTTGGGGCTGCCCAGTGTCCTGACATCTTTCTACATAAAAGCTCCATTAAGAAAAACCCCCTCCTTCTTCCTCTCTTCCTCCCTCCCTTTCTCACCATGATGTAGTTCACACCTCTGCTTTCCATCTTTCCTTCTCTTTCTCTCTCACTCTGTCTCTCTGTACCCTCTCCCTTCCTCCATTAATAATAAAAAACTCTCACATGGATGTCATGTCTGCCTGGTGTGAGTAACCTACCACCATGCTGCGGCCCACGGGGTCTGTTTCCCTCTTGCCTGGGGCTCTCTGGCCCAACCCACCAAGACCTCTCATGCAGCTTATCATAACAACCAACTCTTTGTTTCATTGATTCTTTGTAATGTTTTCCTTCTTTTTATTTTATTGATTTCAGTATTCAGTTTGTTTTCTGCTATCTACTTTTGCATGAACTTGCTTCTTTTTGTTCTAGAGCTTTCAGGTATGCTGTCAAGTTGCTAGTATGTGGTCTCTCCAATTTCTTTATGTAGGCACTTAATGCTATGTACGTCCTTCTTAGCACCATTTTCATTGTGTCTTATAAGTTTGGGTATAAAGTATGCTATGGAGTCCAGCTCCAAGGCTCTACACATAGGGTTCGTAGAATAAACCATAGTGTAGCAAAAACTAATTTGGGACTTTATTTATTATGGAATAAATTCACACACAAACTGTTTGGGTCATGCTCTTTTATTATTCTGCTTCAACTTTTTCTTCACAGCTGATATACACATTTAATAACAATTTTCGGCAGTAAAAAAGGTTAGAGAAAACTCTTGTCAGGGTCTCAAAGCATTCCTTGTATAAGTGATAAGAAACACAGGCAGCATAAGCTATTGATAGTGGGTAGCTGCAGCTGTGGATGCAAAAGGGAGGTTTCTGCCTGTACACTGTCTTCCTAAGGATATAAGCCTAAGAATTTAGAAGGGTAGAAGGCCAAACTATTAAGAGATCTAAGGAAAAAGTAAAGAAATCGTGTACTACTCTACATTTCTTAAGTGTATTTAACATTATAAGCTAACATTCTGTGGCAAAACTGTCAGTTTCTCTTGACAACTTCCAGCAGAAGAGAACAGCTGGGAGCCTTATGCAAGTAACCAATGGGTGGAATGGTGTCTGTGGGTAACCATGGCACCTATGTAAATCAGATGGGGAATCGAGCAGCTTTGATTCACATCAGTGCTTTCGTCAAAGGCTGGCTAGCAGGAAAAAAAAAAAAAAAAAAACAGTGTTAGATTTAAAAAAAATGTCTCCTGTCCTGTAGCCAGTGCATGGAGGGAACTTTGTAACTTTTTTGTTCAATGCTATGAAGCCAGGCCATCTCCCTGTAGTTCTGGCCATCTATGTAGCTTTTCTCACTGTAACTAGGCATAAAGCTATTTTTTTCTCACATGGTTAGCCAGTTAACAGCTTTTTCCTGTTAATCATGTAAATATCAGGGCTTAAACATAGACATGTGGTTAACTGAGCCTGATATCTTGTATCATATAAAATGTTAAATACTAAGGGATCAGAGCAGATAAACACTGTGAGTCTTGTTATCAGTTGCCATTGGTGGAAGCACAGGGCAATTCAGTATCTGTTGGACCTTGATTTAACAGAGCCAGATACTTTGTAATTTCATCTTTGAGTTTAACTGTGAAAGTCTTGTTTGTGATCTATCCAAAGAGACTCCTGATCTGGCCAAATTGCCTTGTAAGTAAGCTGATTATAGAGAACAGGCTTCTAAGTTTCTCACTATTATATGTAACAAAGACTGAACTATGAGAGCTTGTTTTATTTACCAGAAATACACAGTGTAGGGAGAAGTATGTATGATTACATCATTAAAAAGGCCCTTGGTGCCTTTCTTTCCTATCCATTTCTCCTTAATTTGTTTTTGTTATTCAGATTTCTTTAGCTCACTCTTATGGCACTGAATTCAATAAGAATCGGGAGTCTGCATCTTCCTCTCCTTATAGTTTTCCTACTAATGCTGTTCTTCTTTTCTCTTTACTCTTGGTCTTGGTGTGACACACCTGCCCATTACTGTAGTGAGCTGTGTCCCATTTCTTCCTGTTTCCTTTAGAAGTTTATTGTAAAATCTGTTGAAGTTTGTCTAATGACATTTCAGTTTTCTACTGGGAATTTCTTATCACAGGGATTTGGTATTATGTGAGTTCCTCCCCTTTTTTCCTTCCTTCCTTTTTTCTTTATTTATGTCCAGTATTCTTGGTCGTAAAATTACTAGTATTAATGTACTTCCTTCTAGGTAGAAATTATTGTTTACAGGTTTTGTGTGTTGGATATAGTTCAGTACCCAACAGCTCTCAATTTGTCAGTTTTTTTACATAATGTGATATTGTGTTCCCCAATATATTGTGCACCCTAATAAACTTATCTGGGGTTAGAGAACAGAACAGCCACTAGATATAGAGGCCAGAAAATGGTGGCACACACACCTTTAATCCTAGCATTCCAAAGGCAGAGACCTGTCTGGATCTCTGTGAGTTCTAAATATATCCTTCTGTGTTCTCCTGTGTATAGGAATGTGAACAGATTTCTGGTATCATTTTGATTTGGGGGTCTTTTAATGTGGTTTTGCATTGTTCAGAAGAGTTGATTTAATTTTAACTTTGTATTTTTGATACCTTGTTGTGAAATTTCAGCAAGAATTCCAGATTTTGGTCAAGAAATAGAAACTCAGAGAAGAACAACAAGAACAATGAATGCTTCTCTGGGAAATGCTCCCAAGGTCAGTGTCATGTTTACATTTTTTGAAGTTTGTTTTTATTATTGAAACCATTGAAGACTTTAATTCTCTACCTCTGATAATGTTATCTAAAGTGTTTGTTTTTTATGGTTTATCTTCTTTTTCTTTTCTGGTCATCAAGAATAAGACTGTAGATCTTTCACATATATAGCACAGCCTTTTCTCCTTATATTTTCATTCCATGTTTTACTTTGAGGACATAAATTTTCATAGACTGAAGACATGACATTGTGAAAGAGAATATATTGCAAATGGTATTCAAAGAATATATTGATGGCCAGTGTCTACATAGGAAGAAATTTTCATGTGCGAGGTCACATTTCCAGAACCAGCCTTATGAATGTGGACACGCAAATACATGGACTTTTTTGGTGACATCACTGAGCAATTTATGGAAAAGTAGAATTGGAAGAGATTCACTCTCTTGAATCCCAATAGTAAATTATCAGCACCCTAGAGAGTGTGGATGATGGAAGGAATATAGCTGGAGAGCTTTTCTCTCCAGGTCCTGCCAAATCCTGCCAGTCCCGGAGCCCACTTATAAAATAAACACACAGACGCTTACATTATTTAAACTGCTTGGCCATTAGCTCAGGCCTATCATTGTCTAGCTCTTACTCTTATATTTAGCTCATTTCTATTAATCTATACTTTGCCATGTGGCTCATGGATTACTGATACCTTACATCTTGCTTGTCCTGGCTGCTGTTCCAGGCAGTCTCTCCCTCTGCCTTCCTGTTCCCTCAATTCTCCTCTCTGTTAGTCCCGCCTATACTTCTTGTCTGGCTACTGGCCAATCAATGTTTATTTATACAGAGCGATATCCACAGCACTTCCCCTTTTCTTCTTTTTCAAAAAGGAAGGTTTTAACTTTAACATAGTAAAATTACATATAACAAAACAATTATCGAGCAAGAACTACAGTTACAATATTAAAGAAGATATCCTATCTTATATTTGTGAGTTTAAGGTTTTATATCTAACTTATCTTTTATCATAACTAAGGAAAATTTTAAGTATTTAGTCTTTAACCACATCAAAGACCTCAGAAGGATATAATACTACCTGAGAAATGGGAGAAGGATGCAAGCAGATTTCGGGTGTCTTGTATGGTAGACAGAGTCAGCTGGCAGCCTAGAAAGTCATCCAAAGTTCTCTTGTAAAGTTGGGGCATCTGTCCTCAGCCCACAGGGCTAGAGTCTCTCAGTTATTTTTGTGTGTGTCCTGTAGAATGTCTGGCAGTTTTTTTTTGTTTGTTTGTTTGTTTTTGTTTTTGTGAAGCAAGAACCTAAAGGACCATTTTGTCAAGCAAAGTTTAGTGGTCACCTTTTCTTGCCTAGACGATCAAGCAGTCTAGGCAAGAACAGTTTCTTGTCCAAATGGCTATTTTTGCCAAGAAGAAGGTAAACTCCATATAGAGTGTTTTCGATGCCCATCCTTCTCGCTGAAGTAAATCTGGTGCTGCCAGGAGCAGATGTGTCACTGTCCAGAAAGTCTAAATTTTTAAAAATATTTTAAATGCTACATTTTGTAGATCTTTGAAGTATTTGAAAATTACTTATCTATCTGAAATATATCTATGTATACCTAGAAGACTTAACTAACATGGCCATAAATATGATTATCAAAGATGACTAATTATTAATCTACTTAATTATCCATTCTAATCTAAATGAGCTACATAAACATAATACCTCAAACGACAATAGAAATATATATATATACATATATATATATACAGTATAACATTAAGTTTAAACTTGTATCAATAAACTAAAATTTATACCAATGTAAAACATTTTAAACATAAACTAAAATCTATACCAAATGTAAAACATTTTAAATCAGTTTTTTTCTAATAGTAGGTTTATTAATCTACCCTTTTATCCTATCATATCTATATCCTATTTATCTATATCATATCCCCTTTTCTTTAGAAAGAGATTGTATTTATAATCAACCTGTTTTAAATAAAAATATTGTTTTTTTTTCTGTCCTCCACCAGAGGGCTCTTTTGATATGGGACAAAAGAATCTTTTAACCTTTTATTTTAGGAATAT